TTGATGCGCGAGTTAATAAGTTTAGGCCCTGCTTAAGCGCCCATCTCTTCCATGCCTCCCTGATGCGCGACTTAGCATGATTTAGCCCTTGCTTAAGCACCCACCTCTGCTTTGCCTACGGCGAAGGGCGCGCGGAGCACGATCCCAGCAGTCCATGAATATATTTTTGCACGCGGTGGATATAAAAAAGATATAACGACGTCGAAACCATTTGCCATTATTAGTATTCTAAGCACCTTTCCAATGATCTAAACAAGAAATCTCTCGCCAAGGGTTCGTAAGGCGTAGCTAACGACGAAGAAAAATCGCAGTGCTCTTCTATCGCTGTTGGGGTTTGTTGCTGATATGATATATAAGATCGCGTATGAAGCCCGATGAGTTATCAATATTTTACGACCGCAGCTTATGATATGCAGATTCTGAAGGATTTTAGATCTCCGTCTCGGGTCTTTGCGTTACTCCGAGCCGCCGCGCAATCAGCCGAAGAGAAAAAATAGTTCGAAATCTTGGGGGATATTTGATCACGCGACCCTTTGATCGCGGCGCGGTCCCTTGATCGCACGGTCCCCGCATCCAGCCCGGTCTTTCCGCCTCATTTTCCTCTCTTGGATTATCTGCGCAACAGCTCGGGGGAGCGCATAAATATCGGGGAATAGATACGGCCAATCTAGAAATTTTGAAAGATTTTGGATCTCCGTCTCGGGCATATGAGTACCGTCGAGCCAAAGAAAGATAAATCACGCGGAAAACCGCTCCCTAGGCAAGGGCAGCGCGACCAAAAATCTCTAAGATTTTTAATTGCGTGGCCCGCGCCAAAAATCTCGAAGATTTTAGAGCCTCTAGCTTTTCCGAAGGATTTTAAGATCTCCGAGATTTTGGAGCCCCTAGGGAGCCCGCAGGAGGGACTTTAAAATTGAGCCGGAAAATCGAAAATCTTGGCCGCGCGCGAATGAAGTGGCCGCGCCATAATATTGAGATATGGATTCCAAATATCTGTCAAATTATTGAATCATAACAAATCTTATTTTCCTTACCCTAGATTATATATAGAAAATGAATAAGGGAGGGAAAAGATCCTTAAGAGGCAGGGGAAGGAGGAAATAAATTATAGATTTTCTTTCTTTTTAGATATTCGGCGCCAGCAATCCCTCCCCCTGCTGATCTCCTATAATCCTCGTAAAAGATCTTCTATGTTTTCTCAAAATTCTATAAAATCATCCCTATCCCTCCCTCTTCAAGATCTTAAGGAATATGAAGATATCTAATTAGATTTCTTAGAAATCTTGAATAACGAGATTTCTTCTTTTTTATAGATCTCCCCAATATCTGATGGGATCTGCGTGACTATCTTTTCTGATCTTAAAATCTAAAGAATTAGGAATTGGTTCATTTGAGATCGCTACTATCATTTCATAGGGATCTACGTATATTTGCTACGATTTTGAGAGTCCCTTATATAATCAAATCCAAAAAATCTATCAAATCTTAGATATTATAATATATTTTTCTATGAATTATATCTATATCCAGAAATAGATATTCCTCCGGCTGAAATATAATTATGAAAATTTCTGATGAATATATCTATATATATATTATCATTATTGAAGGATTGATTCTAATCAAATCTAATAGATTCAAGATCTCTGAGGGACAACCTCCTGGTTCTGTGCCGGAAGCATCATTATAACTAGGATGAGGAATTCCAGAAGCCATTATCGAAATTCACGACTCTATTTCTGTCCCTGACGAAGATATAACGACAGCCACCATTGAATCCATCTCTGGAGGGCTTGCAATGGCGTGCCATAATTATCATTAATTGGGAAAAGATTTGATAAATCATGCTCCAGAGAATATTGGATCAAGGCCGTATTTTCAAAACTTTCTCGCTCAGCGCCCCATAGCTTGGGAAAATACAGCCTACAGGAATGGCCGTGAGATGGCGACCACGCATGGCATTCATCTATTTCAGCTCATAGCGCAACAATCTCCAGAACCGCTCGACGCCATAACAGAGCCCGAGCTCGTTTATAATATCTATTTATATCCTGCCCAAATTCTATTTCATAAAAGATCAGCTATATAGATATTAAAGCAAATAATAGGATCATTCAATTCTCCGAAGAAAGATTTTGAAATTCATATCCGCTATCTTAAGGCAGATCTTTTGAAGAATATTAGTAAATAATATGAATTAGCTTTTTAGCAGGAGCGAAATCTTCTTCTCCATATTAATATATCATGAATATCTATATTTATATTTTTTGATATCATGAATACGAAGAAAATAGATTTTTTTATTGATCATGACGGAGCGGCCTCCTATAATATTCATATCAATATTATTCAATATATTTCTGATATAGAATCTCGTATATTTATATTTAGACGTATCTTTTCAGCTCCGTCATCTATATGAATTATACTAAAAGGTCATTTTCCAAAATATCTCTTCGACTCATGAAATTGCAACTTTTCAAAATGCATTATAAGATTCGTATCAATATATTGGTCTATCTATGAATTATAGGTCTATTTTCTTATTTTCAATTATATTCATCATCTTTAGAAAATCCTCTCCTCTGTATATCTATCTCTCCAAATTTCTTGTCATATAATATATAAAAATTAGATTCCGGGCGAGAATAGGTCCGTTATATTTTCTCATATTTGTAGTGCGCGTATATCATAATTATCGTAATTCATAGCCAATGAGCCCGCCCCTGCCCGGATTTCCCGTTTTCATATAATTGAAATTCTAATTCTAATTAGCTTCGTTTTATTAGAAAATTCGAAATTCTAATTGTTATTTTTCTTCATTTATAATCTTTATTTAATAAGTTTCGAATTATGAAAAGAATTCTCAAATCCTAGACTGATGGTTTTCGTCATGCCAATACCTTATGAAATTGTTTTCTAATCATTTGATGAATTCTCAGCTTCCGGGCTATTGATTTTCTGCCTACGCCCCTTTCTTAATAAGACAAATATTCTGCCGGTATTTCCTATACATATTTCTTTATAGATAAATTAGATAAGCTTCAATTTATTAAGAGAATTCTCGCATCAAAGGCTCCGTATAACAAAGACTTCCCCAAGCTGGGCTGAAAGACTCCTGATTTTCTCTCGAAGCTTCTCATAACTGAATGAATTTTCAAGCCTTCGGCTCCGCATTCGAAATATATATATATCATTTCATCATTAAGATTTATATTCATTTTTTCCAAAGCTTCAAGATACTAATAGAATCCCTGAGTATCTAAATCACTTATAGAATAGATTTTTAATAGCTCTCGGAATCCCTAGATCCTAGATTCTTTCGTGATTTTCTCTTTATATAGATCATTTATTGAATGAACTTTCATTTTCTCTGGTCCTGGGGTCCCGATTTTCTTTATTTAAATTCTCGAATCAGAGACTTCTCAGAACTGTAGGATTTTTCAGATCCTGAGCTCCTAATTTCTTCTATGATAATATCTTACTAGATAATTTCCAATGATTATATGGCTTATCAGATCCTAAGCTCGTAATTTTCTCATATAATTTACTCAATGAGCATCGATTTATTTGAGAATCCTCTTTATCCAGTGCTTGATTTTCTTGATTTATCATCTTCACTAAATAAGTCTCGAGTTATTAGAGGAATTCTCAGGTCCTGGGCTAATGATGAATTTTCAGATTGGGGGATATTATTTTTCTATGCACGCCCCTTGCTAAATACGATTATATCTATATAGACCATTCTCAAATCCTGTGCAAGGGATTTTGTCTATAAATCTATGATTCATCAAACGTCAAAATATTAGGGAATTTCTCATATCAGAGGCTCCTGATTTTCTCTCGAAATTTCTCATAATAGGGCAAATTCTTAGATCGGCTCCTGATTTTCCTGATCTAAATCCGTTATATTTGCAGCTTGAGGTTTTGCACCAAGTCGGGCCCGGCCCGGCCAACCCCACCCCCATGTCCAGCTCCTTGTTGTCTTCCGCGTTGACGTGATGCATGTCTTGAATACTTTTTGCTTGCGTGGCCTCTTGTGTTGGTTGCAGTTGAGGCCCCACCGGGAACATCCCAGCCGAGACTCCACAGTCTCATCCCAAATTCTACACTCCCTACGACTGCAAGCCTACACCATTTCTGCAAGTGTGTGGCTGCTTCCGCACCAGCCCTCCCAGCCGCCACCACTGCCCAAAACATGCCATGGTCTTGGCCTAACTTTCCGAGGCTGCAAAGCAGGTTGGCATGCCCGAAACGAACACATTCCAAGCTGGCCTCAAAATCTCTCTTTGACCTTAAGGGAGACGGACACTGAAACTCCCAACATCGAGCAAACCTCACCGGCATGTTGTGTATAGGGTCTCCAAAAGGTTCAGCCAAATGGGTGTTCGAGCTTGCCATTCGGAAAGAAATAATTAATAGCAAGAAGTTGCTGCTCCATCCAAAGCAGGGTTCTTGCACGCTTGTTTCCGAGGCAGGAAGAACATGTTGCTGTGTAATTCGCGCTTCAGGACTTCCACTCAGAAAATTCACGCCCACAGACCGATGAATCCCACTACCCTAGCTGCAAGGCCCTCGAAGTCCTTTGCAATTCCTTCAATTGGGCCTGAGGGATCATATGGGTAGTTGTCAGACTGGGGAGTGCATCTTGGAAGCCACGGGCGACCTCAGCGCTCTACAAATACCAATCTTGCAAGCCTGGCTGTGATGACCCTCAAGGGCCGGTCTGGACACTTGCAGTTCGGACCAGCACTTCAGGGAGACAAAACAGACCGACAATTCTGCCAAGAAGTCATTGCTGCTTCTTCTCTTTTTAAGCATACCCGGCCTGTCAGCTGTCCAAGAGTGTAAGGACTAAAAGACATAAAGAATCTAGGTCGCGCACCCCATTCACAGCTACAGTCAATGTCAAAGGCCAGAATTCTCGTTTCTCTGAGGCAGATTTCAGCCTCTGAGGCTCTGACTCTTTGGAACATTGCTGCGATGGATCAGGAGGAAAACGCAGGTTGGCATCACATGGCTGCTTGCGTCTTGAATAGCTTCGGAACCCAGCCGTAAAGCTGCACAGGCATCTGCTTTGTCTGGGGCACAGTCAAGATCGAACTCACAGTCCTCGAGGTGGGATGAGAGCCTCAGCTTTAGCGTCAACAAATGGTTGCAACCTGCCCAGAAGGATAGCCGGAGAATATTCAGAAAACAGCCCTGAAAAAGGTGTGAAATACAAATGAAGCTAAGGATCTGCCGCCAGCAAATTCTGCACCTGCAGCAAACAACACAAAAAAAGAAGAAAAAGGAACAGCAGAAAAGCGAGCCTATATCTATATTTGAAGCAGGAAGCATCGGCGCACAGGTGGTTTGGAAAACGGTTGTAGTCTCCTAATGGCAAGTTGAAAGTTCTCAAGGGGCCTGCAGGGTTGCGAGTCCATGCCGCGAGGTTTTGACAAAGATCGCATCGAATGGCCCAATCGTAGAATTATGCAGGTACCCACCTGAGCAGGCTTCCAAAGCTACGCGGCAAAGCAGCTTGTTGAGTTTTCGTTCGAGTTTGTGGTGTGTCCTGGAGACGGCGTAAACCTACGAACCGAGCCCACCTGGTTGCAGAATATCTCCATGGAGTACTTCAGATCTGTTACGGGAAATCTCATTTCCAAAGTCGACCAGGTTGATGGCAGCTATGGAGTAGCCTCTGCTCAGCATACTCGTTGACAGGCCCACCTCCATCCTGAGAACAAAGTCCATGACGGGCATCGTCACGAAGTCTCCGCGATAAGGGTCGACAGCACGGCATTTTACTAGCGTTGTTGGCCAGTCCACCGTGGCAGCCATGTCATCTATTACTGGGCCTGACAACATGTCGATGTTCAGCTCATACTCAGCATGCCTGACCAGAACCTGAGGGCTTGCAACTTAGATTCTGTTTAACACAACCTCTAGAAGTCCGGCCTTCAGCCCCGCGTGGTCAGTGGCCAGCAGCATTGACATGACAAATGGCAGCCTTGGCAGCATTGGCTTTTCCGGCATTTCCTGCACGTCGAGCATGAGGCCCACGAGCTTCACCTTGCCTGGGTTTGCTGCTATAAATCAAAGGCACACCCTGCAATGCACGATGGGTCATGTGATGTCATGTGTCAAAAGCCAGGCTGCTGGTGATATGAGAGGTGAAGTACCGTGACCAGTGAATGGGTTCTGCCAGCGCGGCAGATGGCAGGAACGGCCCAGCCAAGCCGCAGTTCAGAAAAACGAAGTGGTCGTAGTTTCTTAATCTCTTTGCGCCTATGTGCCTTGGCTGTGGCACAACCCAAGGCGCATGCGGTGACTTGTTTTGCACTCTTGACAGCGACAAAGGCAAGCTGCAGCAAAGAGACTTGAGGCCTACCTTGTACGCTTCGAAGTCGTAGCAGTAAGGGCTGCGCTGTAACCATGTCACGTGCAGGTTGGCTTCAATGAGCGCTGACACATTTGCCTTCCGCCCCACGACGACAAGGGTGGTCACGAACTTGTCGTGGCAAGCACCGTACTTCAAGAAATACCTCAGGGTCTGGAATCTCGAACATACACGGTCTGAATTTTTCAGGTGGACCTGTACTCGGGCTTGCTGAAGGATGGCCTGAGATTCTCCATGTAGATCTTCTCCTTGTCAGATCCCGGTGGGATGAAGTGCCCGGCGAAGATGACCAAGGTCCTTCTGTGACTGCTCAATGTGAACATACGCTTGTGCAGTTTCAAGTTGTATGTTACTACAGCATACGTGCAGTTATCTCTTAAGTAGGAACTGGCCGGCTGGGCTGATGCCTCAACCAAGCATCACTATGCCAAAGCTTCTGTTGATAGGGGCCTAGCAGTTTAAATGTGACAGCTGTCGGGGGTCCTCTTGGGAGGAGTCTTCCTTGCCAGCTCCAACCGCTTCTGCCACAGAGCGTCCAGCTCCGGCGTGAGCGGCTTCAACACCTCCTGGACAGGCTTGCAGCGTCTGCTCGCACTAGCGAAAGATGCTATAAAACCTAACGGGGTCTAACAACTCACCAAGAAACCACTTCTCTCCTGATGCTTGGCCAGCGTGGCCCAACACTCTGATGGCCCAGATGTCTCACGAGTCTGATTAGCAGCGTTCCGCATCTGCAGCAGGCTGCTGGCCTCCTCGGCCCTAGGTAGCTCGAGATCAGCGAGCCCAGCAATCGGCGCTGAAGAAAGCTGACCATGAATTCTTCCGGTTCCGAAGGCCGCGCTGGTGCAGGTCACATAGAGGGCTAAAACTCTTGCCCAACTCCAACTGGCCATGGCCCGGAAGACTCACAGGCTTATGCTGTGAGCAGCCTTGATAAACGAGCGGCAGCCGGAAGGCATGAGCATGCGGGGCTATTGATGCTGTTGGGCTTCACCGCGACTTGCCCAGCAAAATCAGCAAAGGTCTCAGGCAAGTACTATGGCAACACCTGCTTCAGCGCCTGGGAAGCCGAAAGACGTCCAAGTTGGAGACAAACTGTTGGGTTTCAAACCCCTTCGCAAATCTTCACAAAAAATCTGGGCAGCTGCCTGTTAATTACCTGAGATTGCAAGGCCCGCTTGCTATGGAACATGCAGAGAGCCAGACTGCCTGAGTCGCTGGTAAGTTGCGACACAAATGGATGTGGTGGTTTAGAGTTTAGATCATATACATCCGCGAAGCTTGGGTGCCTGAACTCAAAGCCAAAGCCGCAAAGCCTGAACCTAAGCCTTGTTGGGAAAAAGCACCTCCAACTGAAACCTTCACATCAGTGCAAGTTCAGGGCGGGGGCGACGCCTCCGTTTCTGTGCAGAATGGAAGACGCAGGAGTTTCTTGGTCAACCCCTAGATTATCCTTAGCTGGGGGGGACGCCTGTAATGCCCGTTTAATCTTTCGGTACATCCCGAAGATCCCTGAGATAGTATCCCTCAGAAACGCAGGCAACAATGGCATAGTCTGTCGATGCCCATTGGCCCCTTGCCAGTTGCCTTCTTGCCTGCGCTGCAGATGGGCAGCCCAGGCAAGGTGGCCGACGGGATTGTGCTAGGAGCGTTCAGAAGTTGACCTGTTGGAGAGTGCTAGTTGGATTTCAGACCGTCAGTCCTCCTCATCAATGCAGCACCAAGCCCCATAAGAGCCGTCTAATTGAACATAATGCTGGTACAACCAGCACTGCCACTTGTTCTAAGACTTTCCACTAAGATTATGAGCACTACTACTTATACTAGCGCTTGTGCTGAGGATCCTGATTCATGACACCCATTTTCAATTTTCTGGGGTCCGTATTGTCAGTGGCGGCCATACATCAAGAAGAGCCCCACATCAAATTCAGAACGAGACAAACAGAGAGTTGGGAGGCTGGTGAGGGAGCTGAAGACTCAAGGCTTGATCTGATATTCCTGCGAGTCAGAGACTAGCTGGCTCAGGGTGTGGGCCGGTAGGAGCCATGAACCCCAGCTAATGCGAACAAGTATTTCAAACATTCCAATAAATGCGGTCATGGCTTAGGTGTTGCGTCTAACAGTCATTGACTAGGCTTCTTTAGAACCTACGCCCTCCCAAAAACATATTGCTATTTGAAGGCCCCCACACCCAAAAACACCACAAACATACTGCAAATCTAAGACGCGAAAGGATTTCTAGGCCCCCCCCCCAAAGCATCTCCTATTTCCAGAAATAGCAGATGGTTTTTGGTCACCACCATTGCAGATGTGTTTTGGCTATCCCCAATGCTCCGGTCCAAAAACATCTGCTATTTTCCTGACCCAAAAAACATCTGCCCTCCTGCCCGATAGCCGATTGTTTTTGTGGCCTCTTGAGGCCCCCCGGAAGCTAAGAAATTCAGAGATGGAAGTTGACAAAATTAGCCAAGTGGAAGTTGAGAAAAAAAAATTCTTCTTGAGAGAATGACATATGGAAGTTGAGAAAACAACACATGGAAGGTGAAAGAATACCAGATGGAAGTTGAGAAGAATAACAGATGGAAGTTGACAAAACTAGCAGGTTCAAGTTGAGAAGAATAGCAGATGGAAGTTGAGAGAATAGGGGATAGACGTTGAGAAAAGAACAGAAGGAAGTTGAGAAGAATAACAGATGGAAGTTGAGCAGAATAGGAGATGGAAGTTGAGCACAATAACAGATGGAAGTTGTGTCCACAAACTGCATAGAATTACAGTCAGAGGCGGCGCCTAAGTTATGGCAGGGTGACGTCCAATTGACCGCGTGATAACTTGTAAGAGATGCGACGTGTTTCGAACGCCTTGAGCATGATTTATTGTTTTGGAGCGCCTCTGCTGTCCTGTTCTCAGCTCTTTTCTGCCGCCTACAGCGGTTGCAAGCCTGTGGCCAGGATGACAGTCACATGGATGGTGACCCCGGCCCATCCAACCACTGTGAATGTCAGCGTTTTTGCTCGTGCATTGCTGTACAGGTTCAACGCTCTTCTGGAATTCTGTCATCATGCACCTTGTGCCTCAAACATGTACCGCGTGCTACATAGGATTTCGCAAGCCCTCGCTTCAAATATGGCAGTACGCACATCGTACTTCCTGGTTTAAGGTTCAAGGACCGTCTTCCCTTTCCCTCACTCCTGCCCTGCTCCCTCCCTGAGTCCGTTGCCCACGCCGCACCTGCAAGACTTACGTGAGCCACCAGTGCAATGCGCATCTTTGATTTTGACCGGAACTTTTGCCGGAAATCAAAAATCTGACCAAGATGTTGCCCACGGCTCTTGGAAGCTAGTTGTCTCCGGGGTTCCAGACTTTGCCGGCGGGGACGAATCAGGAAGGAGTCTTGCATTTTATCCGAGTTCCCAAGCGATGGTATTCAATGCTATGCGGTACCACATCAAACCACTTGATCAGTATGGTGCTGTGCGAGAACGAATGCGTTGTTGGTGTAAAAGCCTCCCATTCCATGCAGCTCACTTGTGGAGCCAAAGGCTTAGAGTCAAACCTGCCAGGAACACCTCAAAGTTTCTTACTTCCAGCCAGGGAAGTGCACGTCACGACTTCATGCGAAGCAATCGTAGCGTCTGCAGGAGCCTAAGCTAAAGTTGAAGTTTCCATTTGTGTCAAGTCTGCGTGGGTATACTATGGCTACATGGGTATTCAGTCTGTCAAGCATTGTTGCAATTGCAATCTGGTGATCTCTCTAGGGCCACCAAGGTTTCTGTTTAGGATGTTCTGTTAAGAGTGATCCTGATGAGGGCAAGATCTTGACGACTCTGGGCAGGTTCTTCGAACAGATGGGCATCGGGAACCGTGGCATAACTTCAAAGGCATTAATCTTGTTTAGCAACTCCTTGCTTGCGAATACACGGGGAACATGCAGCATTCGAGCTTTGATGCAATTCACACTATGAGAGTGCAATTCACACTAGAAGAGTTTGACAGTGAAAGAATAACTCTCCACACACTAGGCCCTCAACTTGTCAAACCAGCCCAAGGGGCGTGTTGTTCAAGTCTCTCGGGAGAATGGGCAATTGCGGCAACACTGTGTCCTGCCCAGGGGTGAAAATCATTTGGGATGGCCAGTAAAAAACTAGAGCACCACCTCTTTTTCACTTTGAAGGTTAAAGGGGACTTTCACCTTGCAATTACCAACGCCCAAAGCTTTGGCGCGGAATCCTTTGCTCCGACATTCAGTGGCGTTGGCTAAGAAATCCTCATCTGAATTCCCAGCCCAAGCTAATGCGGAATCCAACGAAAAGCTCCATTAACATCACCGTCCTTTCAACAAAAGCCTACGTGAGGTACCAGTTCAATTTGGGAGGCAATGTCCAAGATGAGCACACCAGACCTGCCATTCTTCAATCAGCACATCTGCGGATGGGCTGCTCCATGCGTGGCCGCCAGATTTCAGCATGAGGGGCACGCCTGAAAATTTCTCAACTTTCTGAATGGTGACCAGTAGGGCATGGTGAATGCATCCCTATAGTAGTCCCTATCTAACATTCCAGAATACTTGGCTCTAAATCCCATAGCTCCAGCAAACCACCACCAGGTTGATGTTCCCCAGCTAGGCCGTGGACAGTAACTTGACTTAAAGGACACTTATACAGCCCCTGAAGCAACATGAGACCTGATAACGGACCCTATCAAGACCAATGTCCTTTTCGAATCAGATTTGTGGGTAGGTAGGTCGCATGTTTGTTTTTGGGGGAGCGTGGTTTTCAGAACCCGCGCCGGGACAATGGCCTTTGAAAGTCGCTTCCCGGTCCTTGTATTCCACGCTCTCGTGGTATCCTGGCAATCTCCGAAAATCATAAAGTTCCATAATACAGCGAAACTCATCATTGCAAAGACTCTTCTCTAGACGACCACAACTTCATGGTTCCTCTTCTCGAATTGGACATAAGAGGCCAGGCAAGAAATTAGATGCATGCAGCCTCACACACACAGGGGGCTGATGCACGAGCAGCGCATGCGATGTTGGAGCCACGTAGACACATAGCCTTTGGCAGTATGGGCTAAAAGCCTTACAGCTTCAGGCCTAAACGTCAAAACCTGAGCCTGAAGCCCCCTCCTACAATCCGATCGATGGAGCCCTTGTAGTGCGCTTCGTCGCTCAATCGCTGAGTGCGCGAGAACTCCATGGAGACCGCTCCTAGGTGGCATCTCTTCGGATTTCAGTATAAAGGCCTGTAGAGCGGCAATAGGATATGGAGGCAGGGGGGTCCAGTGCGCACCACAAGCAACTCCAAGGTCTTTCGGGTTCAGGGTCAAGGGTTTGGGGGGTTTAGTGTGGCTTCTTAGGGCTTAGGTTTGAGGGGTTTGACCTTTTTACGGTTAAGGGTTCAGCTTTGGATTAATTAGGGGTGTCGGGTTGAGGGTTTGGCTTTTTAGGCTTTGGGGAGAGGTCTTTAGTTTAGGGTTTATGGTTCAGGGTGGCTTAGGGTTGTTTAGGGTTTGGGTTCAGAGCTTTAGTTTAATTTGGGTTTAGGGTTTAGGGCTTTGGGTTCAGGATTTAGGGTTTTGGGTTATTAAGGGTTGTTTGGGGTTTATTAGTTTAGGGTTCAGGGTTCAGGATTTTGGGTTTAGGGTTGTTAAGGGTTGTTTCGGGTTTTTGGTTTGGGTTCAGGGCTTTGGTTTAATTAGTTTGTTTTTTTTGGTCGGACATTTTTCCTTCTCAGGAATGCTCCTTGAGCAAGGCCAGGTTCCCTTCCATTTAGGCAATTATGCAAGATCACTGCACCAACTTACGGGCACAGCAACCAGGATTCATCTCAAACCCCCCCAAAATTGTCCAGCAAGCCGAAAGGAGTCATGGACCCTCTTGCATTGGCCAGAGCACAGACCGCCCACTCTGGAAAAGCAGGGAGGCAAACAAAGACCCTTGCAAACCCTCACTCACTTCGACGGTCTGCTTGTTGCTTGGTCTCAGACGGTCTCACTCCATCTGGCACAGTAGCACTATCGGCAGCAACCACGGCAGCACAACTCAAGAGCCATTTCCATCACCGCGGGGCCAACCACCATCGTCGCCTCCACACCACCGAGCTGCACGTCCGTGCCGGAAGTGAGCACACAGTTGATGGAGGCTTCTGTCTTAGGTAGGGTTTAGGGTTGAGGGTTTCTAGGGTTTAGGGTTTAGGGGGCTTTGGTTTTATTAGGCTTTAAGGTTGAGAGTTTTTGTTTAATTAGGGTGCAAGGTTGAGGGTTTGGGGCTTTTTAGGCTTGAGGGTTGAGGGTTTTGGTTTAAAGTTTAGGGCTCAGGGTTGTTTAGGGTTGTTTACGTAGGATTTAGTTTTTTTGGTTTAGGGTTTAGGGTTGTTTAGGATTTAGTGTTTGGGTTCAGGGCTTTGGCTTAATTAGGTTTAGGGGTGAGGGTTTTGGCTTAAGTAGGTTTAGGGTTGAGGGCTTTAGCTTAATTAAGGTTTAGGGTTGAATGTTTGGCTTTTAGAGTTTAGGGTTTTGGTTTAGGGTTCAGGCTTCAGGGTTTCGTGCTTGGGCTTTTTTAAGGTTTCTCGTTGAAGGTGTTGGGTTTGGTGTTCAAGGCTTTTAGGGTTTACAGGGTCTAGGGATGATCGTTGTGGAGTGATACTCCTGGGATCTTTTTGCACCAAATAAACCTAAGCGACCATCACGCCCCAAACCTTTGACTAAGTCCCCAAAGGGCGTACACTCAACCCCTCCCGAACGCGCGCTCGGAGGGCACGCCAGCCGTGTCTCACGCAGAACGGGCGTACACTGGACCAGAATGTGGATGCACACTGGACTGGAAAGTAGGCGTGCACTCGACCCCGCCCCCGGATGTGGAGATCGTGTTAGGACTATATGGGGCGGATTAGGAATGCAGCATTTTTGAAAACATCTCATACAAGGCCCTACAGCCGCCAGATTATTGTGGACACTGCGCACAGGTGAGTGAGAAGCTGTCAGCAAGACATTGCGGCGATCCAGCCTCGTGAAGTCAAATCTTGAAGAGTCAACTGTTGAAATAGCGGAGCTATGCTATGCAAAAAAGTGCGGTCTAAGGCTTTGGGACAGAAATCCGGCTTATGACCTGAACCGTACGTAGCTTGTGAAGATACGAACCGAACAAGAGAGGTTGGGCCTGCTTTGGCACTTGCATGGCTCGGGAAGCCCAGCAAAGTAACAAGCTGACTACTCCAGGCCGGCATTCAGCAACCACGCCATAAACCCGAAGCCTACTTCGCACAAAAACCTTCTGCCTACAATGCAGAACTGCAGGTCTGCACATGGTACGCTCACTGCAAAATCATGGTCTCTACAACTGACAGGGGTAGAGCATGTACACAACCCCAGGGGTTGAGTATTCAAAAGTGAATCGAATCAGACAAGGAAAGACTGAACGCTTCATACTAAGTTCACATTACCCGCACACCTGAAGTTACCATGATGACCAGAAAGCTGGAGCCCTAAACTGCAGATCCTATACCCAGGACCCTACACTACCCTGAGTCTTGAAAACGTAGGTTGTTTGACAATCTGCGAACAGTGTTTATCAGAGTTGGGGGGGCCCGCCGGGGTCCGCGCCCCAGCTTTAGGGCCATAGCCTTTTGACCCTGGAGCGACGCAAGAGTTTCGGACTTAAGTTTCGAGGCAGAAGGCAATATAGGGGCTGGAGCAACTCGAAAAAGATTTACGGGCCATCATTATACTACAAGTGCTTGAGGGCCACGTGCAGGTAACTTTCTCATTACATGCCTTGAGCCCCCACAATATGCGCGAACACAGGCCATGAACATGCCAAAGACATGCGCGGTTGCAGCACTAAAAGCCCAGGAACGTGCACCTTCCTCGGAACTCTGACCAATGCCATAACCAGCAATTACATGATTGCAACAAATCAGCCTCCAAACAGGAAGGCCCCAGAACAAATGCTGCCTAAATATGAAGGTTCCGGCCCCAAAGTACACAAAGAACAAACCCTACGCAGTCAGAAACGCCAATGTTGGGTCAAAGACACGTGGCGCCACTGCAAAGAGGTCTGACTGTGCGCAGAAAAAACGGTCCTCGAACGCTCGCTGAAAGCTGTCCTGCGCCAAGTTGGCCATCTATGCGGCGGAGGCCACAGCCCCAAGCTTCAAATCCCACGCCTATGATTTCATGCATGAGGCCCGCAAAAAACTGCACTCCTTTGTGTAATCCCGCTAGCAATCCAACAAGTCTTCTACAAGCTTCTTCATGCGGGCTTTGGCTTCACGTGCTTCAGTCGCTCTGGGAAGTTGGTTTATGCATCTCCTCATCCCTAAGATACGACATGGCCCTGCCCCGCAACAGCCATCTGAATCATGCAACAAAAGCCCTGAAAACAGCCATCCCCAACCCTACATTTGGGCCGGCGTAAGGACCAGGTCTTTTGGTCTCAAGAGGGTTTAGGGATTCGGTTAAGGATGTAAAGGTCTAGGGCCTATAGGGCTTGGGGTTGCGGGCTTCAGGGTTTGGCTTAGGGTTTAGGGTGCTGCTGTTATCGCAGAAGCACTGCTTGTCGAGTTGCATCGCCTTGTGGAGTGTGTCGCCGGGCTTCAGCCAGCCCACGGCAGTAGGCCCACCCGAACCGCTCCGTTTTAAACCTACACCGAATAAACAAGCTCTTCAATCCGGAGGCTCAGAGTGTCTCGAAGTTAGGACCGATACTTTGAGGAAGTCCAGCTCTTGCAAGTGTGTGCACGCTTGAGCGTGCGCATGAGTGGTGGGCAGGGTTCATTCATGGCATGAATGGACTCGCATCCTTCAACCTTAAACTCTGGAACCCCGCCATGTGATCCCCCGAGACACACAGAATAACATGGACGCCCATCTTTTCAGCCTACTGCCCAACGGGTGAACCTCTACGCTATGATGAGTCTCAACCCTTGAAGCACAACGATTCAGTCCAAAACCCCGAGCCTTACACGAGCCCAGGGCTTCGAGTCCTGGCTCTTGCCCCTCACTTCGATCGCTCGCTGCATTGCGGCGGAGTCCCTCACCGAGAAGCCCCCGTTGCCTGCACCTTCAAGCTCTTCAGAGACTGCAGCAGCTTAGGAAACGCAATTCAAATGGAGCTTCTATGTTCGCATGAGGCTGTAACAGGGCTAATTAATTACTACAAGCAGTATTAAATTCACATGGCTTCTTGCGATTACCAGGCCGGACGGATAAATAGAGCGAAAGTTGACCTGGACAGAATTATCGAAAAAGGGAAATAGCGTGTGTCCCAAATGGAATGATAGCAAGGTAGGAATAGAAAAAAGAGAATGGGATGATCTGGTCCAGCCCAGGCGCCAAACTGCAAAATGTAAGCAAAGTCATAACCTATTTCAACAAATAGCGCCAAGTACAGCAGGAATCAGGACGGGGAGAAGAATTGGCAGAGAACTCCAAGCCCAAATGCTGCAAAGAGCCCTTCCACGCTTTGCAGGACTATCCTCCAAACAACTTTTTGACAACTTAATTGGCGGACCCCTTGCTATTCAGTGATGCTGATTGTTCGGGGGAAGGGAGATTTGAATCAGTTCCCCGTCACAGATTCACCTCAAGCCTTTTCCTGCATACAGGCTCAGTAAACCACAAACCGGGGAGCCCAATGAAACTCCACTCCACTACCCGCACCTTTGCACGGCCCTTCTGTTCCCAATGGAAACGGAGCGCCAACCTTGGTGCAGGGTTTTGGCTTGGGATTCAAGATTTCGGGTTTAGATTGTAATTAAGGTCAGGATGAGAATGTTTAATATATGGTTTGGGTCCTTTGGGGTGAGCGATCAAAGCCCCACAAATCGACCCAGAAAACCAGGAACTGTGAAACCTAAGCCATAAGCCATGCACCCAAACCATGTTGCCGTTTGCTAGAATCAAATTTAGATAACGGCCCACAATTATCCCACCCCAATCATGGCCTGAACCGCAAACACTGAACTGGTGGTGTGGGTTCATGAAAGGTTTTACAGCATGAGGCAATGGTATCCACTCTTGATCAATATCACCAGCAAACCAATGTCTCTTGAGAATGAAAAAACCGGCGACGCGCCAATCTAGCTGCTTTTAGTCATGCTACTCTCTGACTGCTAGGGCCCAAGTGCTGACACAACGCGCCGGAAAAGGGAAGCAACCGCACTCCCTTCCTCCACCCTAAACAAGACTCAATTCGATTGCCCCGAAAAAATGGCACTCCCAGCTCAAAACTCAAAGATTTTTCTGTAATACAAAAGGCTGAGGGAACTGTATTGGTAATTAATATCGCTTCTATTTCAAAATATGCTATTGGGAAACGGGCTAAGATGCCTCAGCAACATAGTCGTAAGGAACCTTAAGCCCCTCAACCCTAAACTCATCAACCTGGCACCCTAAACCATCACCCCAAACCTGGAATAACGGAAGGGTGGAGCAACATAGTCGTATTGCAAAAACTGTTGAAGCCGATCACGCGCACCATTGCAAAGGCAGGCATCAGCCTGTACCAGAAGGACCTGGCTTGCGGTAGGGGTTGCGGGCTACGGCTAAGAGTTTGGGCGGGGCATTGGCAGAATCCAGCAAATGAGGGCGTCTTACACTATAGCTGGCGGTTGAAGGCTGAGAACGCTTGCTTGTCTTTTGTGTCTGAAGAAGGCATCCGCTTTGTTTTGGGATTCGGTTGGTGCCCGCGACGTAAAACAGTCTTGCTAAGGGCACGGTATCAATTGCACTAACAGCAGGCAGCAGCCCTGCCGCATCCCTGCGCATGCGCACGCAATGACGGGCCCCAGCATCATCAGCATAATTTGGTTCCGGTCATGGTGGAGGCAAAGCTTCCCGTTTCCAAGGCGTCCCCGCACTCTTTGCACAAGTTGAGATAGGTTGAGCACGCAAAGCGCTGCGTGTGTTTCGGCTCGCTCTACCGCGTGCTTATTGCAATCCTTTCTCAGAGGACCTCGGCATATCACAGCCAAACAGCTGCGTTGAAAGCTTTTCATGGGCCAACGGTTGAGTGTTCAGCATGTGAAGCTCGGAAGTGTAGGCCTGCTAGGTAAATTTTGGTCAATTGCATGTCGTGCTTGTCTGATTAACTGATTGAAAGTTCGTCCCGCTCGCTGGAGGTGTTCATGTACAAATGTTGTGTATTCGAAAATTGGACCCCGATATGTTGTAGGGAACGATTACGCCATTTTAGAGGTGTAGCCTGCTTCACCCTGGCAGGCTTTCAGACGGTACATTGACTGTGTAATGAATGGAGTCGAAATTGGACATCCCGCGTTTCTAAACTCACCAATATTCCTTACTTAGCAAGCCACCACACCTGCAACGAAACACTTTTTTTGTTTTACACCATTTCGTTTTCCGCATCACCCCGTCCTTGCGTGTGAGCGTAGCCTGCCAGAATTCTTTGGACTCCAGCATCTGTGAATACGTGCCTCAGCCAGGCAAGGCGCCCAAAAGTTTAGTGCTTGGGGATGAGGGGCTGCTTCGGACTATGAAGGTGTCTGTCTCTGTAGGATTATGGTCCAAGGTTGAGGGCTCTAGCTTGGGATATGTATATGTCTCAACTTACAATCGCCTGGAATAACAGATCTGGATACGGTCCCCAAACGGAAGCTCGATTATGCCGGCGTTTTCTGCTTTGGCGGATTCTTGCGCGAAACTGAAGTACATGGGGTACAGCACTCACACCCAGCCAGGGATTGTTTTGAGTCTAGCTAAAGAAGACTCAATCAAGTTCGAAGCAACCTGCACTTTGTGGGTTTACGAGGCGATCGTGGTACCCCCGAAAAATTCTGTAGGAATTCTGCAACTTCACTATGGTGGAAATTCCAAATCCGCCCCAGTTGCTGAGAGTCATATGCTTCCTTGGTGGCTTTTTTCGTTCCGAAAAATATTCACCCCCGCCCCCAGCCGCTACCCACTAAAATTGTCCACACGAAAAAACGCGTCATGTACGTGCTAGTGCATGCCACTATATTTGAGTTGGGGGACAATCTCAAATATTGATTGACATGAAGGGCGTTCATGAAATCAACAAGAATTTGCAAACATCTTGATGGCTGACCAAGTTTCATGTCAAAGTAGGGTGTAGGCAGCGCTGTCAGAACCAAGATTCCATTCTCAAGCAGGGCACCTGGTGGGGCTGGTCTAGGGTCTTATCGATTTGGGGCCATTTGGAGCCTGGCCGGGGGAAAATCGGGTTTTGGGCGTTGGGTTTCGCGCATGTGTAGTGGAACATGACACAAAACTATGTTTTTCAGACAGCTACTATGAAAGGCTTCCAATTGCGTTTGCATACGGGGAGCCCGCAGGTTTTCCTCCAAAAGTGAAAGCATTGCCATGAATGCCCCAAGCACGAAAAACACGATGTGATTTCACGAACTCTTCGCTGTAAGCCTCAAATCAAGGAAGCCGTGCGTATTTCTGTGTCGGACACACATGCAAAGAAACCCTGGGCTCGCCAAAGGAGCTGCGCCATCTTTGTGGCCCTCCTTTAAGGGTGGTGGGTGGGGGGGCGGGGGGAAAAATGGCAAGGGTTTCCTATTCTGTCAAAATACCAGGGATCCCGATTAATGCTTGTGGCATTGTTGGGAAATCCTGTAAACCCTGTAAAACGTGAAGAATCAATCTATTACGGACACTACAAGGGGCATGGTTCCTTGAGCTCGTTGGTTGTAGTCGCTGTCCTATTACAATACCAGGAAGACCCTCCTTTCCGCCCTATTTCCTGGTCTCATTCTGCGCTATCGCCCTGGCCTTCCGTGACATTTCAGGAATGGGTCGCTACATGGGGCGCTCTGGCCACCCCCCCTATATATCCCCCTGTTCAATGGCAGCTAACTTGGGGGAGAATGCGTTTCGGGGACCTAGGAGCAGAGTAGGTCAGCTGTATCCTCAGCTCCGGAAAGTGCGCGTGCGTATGCAGCGCTACCAGCGGAAGACCTGGCAATGGCCGCGAGTCCGGTATCAAGATGGACACCTAGGCTTTGCAGCGTGGGATAAAAACAGGCTACCCAGAGATAGGTTACAAACCCGCATGGTGGGCAGTATGATGCCGTATAATCCTTGCAGCTTACATTCATAGAAGTCCCCACGCAAACCTCATCTGCCCCAAGCCCTCAAACATTGAATCGGCTGTTACATTGTTTTTTTTTGCCTTGCAATGCTCCAGTCTAATGGAAGGCCGGGGCACGAAGCTGCTATCATACATGCGGCCCTTCACTTGCAGGAGGTAGGTTTCCTGTTCGGACAAGATTTGTGGGTTCCACGTGTTATCTTCATGGTGCGTTCCTTCATGCTCCCTCTCAAGTCCAAAGTTACATGCGTAGCATGATATCGTCCCTAGCAACGGGATTCGGCTGAATGTTGGGAAAAACATGGGACAAAGCCATGGCAAAGTCCTAGCAAGTCCTGGTTGTTTCCTTTTCTCAAGATTGATGAAGCATGTTTGGTGTGGGGGTGACTCGGGCAAAGAACGAAAAACTTTGAAAATCAAGGTTTGGGTAAACACGTATCGCCCTAAATAGAAATAGTGCTGGTACCGCAGAATCGCGAAACCACCTTGATAAGAAACAGTTACCACATCCATGACGTTTTTTTCTTCGGGACGTCTTTGCGCCTGCAGCATCCGTGTGGGTCACCCATGACGGCAACTTCCCCGCAACAACAGGATGCACCCGGCCCCGCACCCGGCCCTTAGCATGGCTGACTTCGTATTGCAGTGCAGGTAAAGCCCGTTCATTTTCACAACCTGTGTAAACTCAATTCAGATGGGCTTGTGTGAAGACTCAATCTGAACTGCAAGAAGCAAAAGAGATCCCCTAATCCTTATTGACTCTCATTTGCGAATGCCCCATCAAAGATCCATAAATTTTCCCTCCGTCCCGCTCCGCCAAAACTGCGGAACCTGAAACGTTCCTACCATGCACCCTTCTTTACTCTGAGCTTTGTACCCGTCGTGCACATAATTGCAGCACCTTATTTTAAATCCCGACCCTTGATGCTTCCACCTGTACATTCTCTCTCTCCGTTATAAGAAGGCACGGCCCGGAAATCATCAGTACCAAATCGAGGGGGATTTACTTTTGACTTCAGCTATGCTGGCATGGGGGGTCCATCATAAAGGGGGCAGCTCCCAAAAACCATGAGCTTGTCACCAAACAATCCTCAACCACGTAATGCATCATCATTTTGCACGTTGTCTCCTCTTGGTCGGCCGACGCTTCCGTCAACGTGGCCGCGCATGCCAACCCCAGCAGGGCGGAAATGGTTTGCCACGTTGTTCTCATCGCATGGTGACAGGGGTAACACTTGCATTGCACCGTCTTGAGACCAAAGTGGCGACATGAGGATATGGGAAAAGCATCGGTGATTGAAAGCCGCGGCCAAGTGGTTGTTTCCGGCTAAGCCGTGGCCAAAAATGCATGTTTGGATTGGGGTATGTCTCGGGGGTATGTTTCGGGGTACGTTTCGAGGTACAGGCAATCGACTAAGTCATCCCTATGTCATCCGTTTCACCTTCCCCCGCGTTGAAACGCAGGAAAACGAGAATCATCTCTAAGTCATCCCTTTGCCAACTTCCCCAGTGAACGCAGCCGACAGGGAAGATTAAGTATTCGGAGAAGATTTGTAGCACTTCCCCAGAGAAGTCAGCGGGCGATGCGGCCACAAGCAGCTCCAGCACCGAGCACGCATGCGCGCGCAGCCCTGCTAGCGAGGCGAGGACTGTCCATCGCCGCACGAGCGCAAGCTGAGCTTCTGCGACGCACCATGGCGCCTGTTGGCGCGTCCTCGCTCTCCCGAGGAGGCGGACGAACGTCAGCATGCTGCGGCCGATGCGTCCCCACAGCTTAACATCAAACACGACGAGCTTGCAGCGTCTGGCTCGAAGGTTCGCTGGAGCTCGGGTACTTCCGGTGTTTGCGGTCGAGGGCTTGGTCAGGGTCGAGTCCGGGCGCGCCGTCGGCTCCCGGGCACCATGGTTTGTTGCGCAACATATGTGTCGCGGCCTGCACCCGGGCCTGCGCCATGGCTTGCCAGCGCTCGCCGATTTCAGGCTCGCCACGCCACGCCGCATAGGCGGGTCCGACAGGAAACCCGCCGCAGCGTGCAAGAGGGGGACGTACAGCCAAGAGCAGCGCCTGCCTGGGTCTGAGGTAGGCTGACGAGCCTCGTGCCACCTCAGCGCGGCTGGCAACAAAGCGTGGGGCACAGGCAACCGCGTCGGCGTATGGCCAGGGGTGGCTTCGTCCACTTGCGTGGGCCCTGCGTCGGCACGAACGTCCGCGGCGACGGCGCACTTCGGGTGTCACCGTCCGTCCCTGCGTCTGGTCGGCGAGGCGTGGCGTATGGCGTGGTGTCGCTCAATGTGTCGGAATTCTTGGCCCATCGACGCAAGAGGTGCCGGCGGCAGCCCGGTCCCGGTTGTCGGCGAGGGGCCTGGGATTGGCGGCCTCGCCGATGCGTCTCTCGCGGCATGTGGCTTGGGCGGCTGCGATATGTGGCCCAGTTTGCTCAGGAGCTCGCTTGCGCGGGAGCGGCGGGATTAACCATCGCAGTCTCTTGCCGCAAATTTCCTTGGCCCGGCTCTGCGTCCGGCGCGTTGTCCCGCGCGGCGTCCGCGCCTGAGATGCGGGCGTCAAAGAGAATCGCGTCATCGCAGAAAGCGCGAAGGGCGCCAGTTCGAGGCCGCAATGCCAATTGCTGCAAAACATGAACACAATCCAAGTCACTGCACGCCATCTTTTTTGCAGCGGCCCGAGCGTCGGAACCTTGAAACTAATGGTCGCTCCGGGCGGCCTAATTGACAAAAAATCTTACCAATAACTCTGCCGAATTCTGTTGGCTCAGTGCCGTCGCAGGGCGTCTGCCGCCGCTTGTGCTGCAGCTGCAACCTCCGCGGCTGCCTCTGCCGCTCTGTTGGTTGCTTCCCTCATGGGTGTTGTAGCGTTTGCCGGCCGGTTTGCCACCCTTGCCTCTGCTTTTGCCATTGCCTCCTCCCTTGCCATGGCCTCCACGACGGTGCCGGTCGCCTCGCCGGGCTGCGTCCGCTGCTCCGTCGGGAAGGGCTCCGGGAGTGGGCTTCGCCAGCAGGCGACCTGTCGCGGCTATCGCCGCGGGGTCGTGTAGCAGGCTCGGGCGGCCCCTCGACCACGGCGTACAGCGCGTCCACCACTCCGGCACATAGAGCATTTGGAGCCAAACATGGGCAAGACACACAACGATCAAGATGCGGGGCTGGAACTGGTGGGGGCGGCAATTTTCTGACCGCCCTGATGGCCCCCCCCCCACGTGCCATCGAAATTGAAGGCTGCTGCTCTCCGGCTCTGCGGGTGGTCGCGCGTGCCTGGCGCTGCGGCCACCCAGCAGGTAGCCGAGACTGCGGCGTTGCCCACGCGAGTGCGGGGGCAGGTGCCGTCGCGCGCGCAGCTTCGCGGAGGAGGTGGCGCAACAATTCATCCCTGCAAGTACTCGGCAGTAGGCGCAGCACGGCTTGCTTGTTCTGCCGCCCTGGTGAGGCTTGCCCGAAGCAGCTGCCAGGCCGAAACCATGGGCCCGGAAGCCGGCACTGCGCAGGAGAGGAGGAAACTCGAAGCATTCGAAACTTGGGCGAGCCTTGTTCGTTGGTAGGGAAGGACTGCTCAAACATTCGCATTTGTTTTACTTGACGCCTTCTCACTGCGTTGCCCTTACTTGCCTCAACCTCCTTGTGACGGAGAATCCTTCTACCCAGCTCCCCTTTGAGAATCCGAGACAATGCTGCAAGAAGCTTCGTGTCCAGCGTTAGGAATTTGCCTGGTGATGACATGATGCTTGTGCTTTATTGCAAACATGTATGGTTCTAAGAACTGCGAGGGGTTGGTGGAGGGAAAGCCTCCCCCCCTGACACAAAATGATCCGCACAACACCCCTTACTGCAAACATGGTGATGACATTTTTAAACCGTAAGGGTGGATGTCGTCAAAAAAGGCCGGGGGGTTGGCGGGGGGCGCAGCCCCCCCGCCGCATTTGCAAACAACATAATCCGCACAACCTTGCCCTGGACGCAATAACCATTTATTTCTTTTGCCCGTGAGCATTGATGGCTTTCCGGTCGTGGCAATTTTGCTGACATTGCATTCGCAACAGTATTCTGAAAAGGAAAACAACCACTTCAACTCGGCAGGCGCTGCAAGCAAAAGTAGGACGCAAAACCTACCCTGCGCTTAGGGCTCGCGGCGCACCCAACCCCAGCTACCACAGCACCCCTGGATACGAGAAATTCAAATTCAAGTCCTCATGACGAAAGCGGCCAGACCGTAAGGCAAAAAAAAAAGAAAGCAAACGCACAAAGCAAAAAACAGAGAGCAAGAGGCAACACACAGAAATAAAAAAACAGAACGCAAGAAACAATAGAAACAGAAAACAACAAAAAATGCAACCAGAACCAGGGAAAGGAGCCAGAAGCAGAAAACAAAAGGCAGGACCCTAAACAATCCGAAAAATAAAAAGTCCACCAAAAGAGAGAGATACTAATGCATCCAAAGAAAAGTGATTTCCTTTGGCCGCTGCAACACGTCGCTGCTGCGCCGTGCCGCTCGGGGGATTGTCGCCCCTGTCGCCAACAGGCTCAGGGCGAGGCGCGGGATGGGAAACGCAGGCTCGGCAACCGCAGCGCGCCTCAGAAGCAGCGGCGAGCCCGGCTGTGTTGGTGAGATGCGAGTCAGGGGTTTCTCCCTGTGCGTTTGGTGTTGCTGCAGGAATCACGGCGATCAAGCAGTGTGGCATGGCAGGCTGTGCAATTGCGGGCGGAGAAAGAGAGTCAGGTCCGTGAACAACCGTGGGTCACGGTCAGGGACGAACATATACACCACACGCATGATTGGTGGTCGTATGACCCAAGGACAACAAAAATCTCAACACCAACGAAAACAAAGACATAACCATACGAACGTGAATGTGCTACCGGCAGGTCTATGTACAAAGAAGCTGCGCTCAAACTAGCCGCGTTTCATGTCTCACATTCTTCCGCAGTAATGTAGATGCCAGACACAAAATTCATGTTGACGACCAAATCCCGGGCAGTATTGATGTCTCGGTCGGTAGAAAACAACGTTTGCAAACTGATTGCATCGGCATGCGGGGAGTTCGACCTCCAACGCTGCCGGGCAACACTATGTGCAGGACATTGAACAAGGCATGTGCACACAAAGCAGTGCCAGAAGCGCAGAACCGACATGGTGTAGGACTGGCGGTTGCAGC